TGTTCTTCCAGCTTTTACAATTAATAGCCCATCAAGCCCTCCTGTTTACCTTGTAGTCAGATAAAGGGATCAGAATTGCTCTTTTCTCATGTGTTTTTGGTTGGATGATTTCCACAGGACCGGGAGGGTGCAGAGGAGGGGGTTGCACTGTTCAGCGAGGAGTGAGGCTGGAGATGGCCAGCTGCCACCTGTGTGGGGCTGCCCTTACTCCCAGTCAGGTTTACACAGCTCTGCACCCCCCTGCCCGCATCCTCTTCCACCTTTCTGCCTGGCCTTTGTGTGTTGGGATCCCCGTGAAACACTCAGGTTGGAAGAAGGGCTGATCTTCCCGGGCTTTGATGTGTTAATTCCCCAGAGGAGCTGCTTGCTCCGCCTGAGGAGCGCTGCTGCTTCACGGCTCTGCTTCCCACATCTCCCGCTCTGCTGCCACATTCGCCTCCATCCTTGGTTAGGCAGGGAAACCTGCCGTCACTTAACCTCTCTGTCTCAGTTCAGAGGAGCCCTGACGGTGCTGGGGCTGCAGCTCTCAGCCTCGTCTGCCTGCCACGGTCGCTCGTGTCCTTAAATGCATGAAGATAGTCATGACCAGCATGGAGTATAGCTGGGACATTCACGGACACTGCGTCTGGCTAAATAAGGTAAGGCTATCTGTGTTTGTTCTGGCTCTTGCATTTCTCCGAGTGGCAAGCTGGGCAGTACTGGTAGGAAATAAGCATTTCGTCCTTCTCTTGTATCAGACACCAGCTGAGCTGCTGTTGAAGAAACTGAATATTTTGAAACATTTGCATCTTCCCTATTCAACAGCCGTGTTATTTATATTTAGGAAATGTTTCAGGTAAACTCCTCAGAGTGAAGGTCTGTCTTAAGCTAGTTTTCTTTCAGAATTCACTTTTATTGTAGTGAAGCCTTTAAAATACAATGCGGGGGTTTTTGAGTGGGATTGTGGGGTTTTTTTCCCCTGCTCATTCTGTAAGGAGGAACTAATCTGTAAACTTTAGGAAAAGCTTAGCAGCAGGTCTGCCTGCCTGCTGCCAGAGCATGTGGAGCAGGCTGCAAATATTCAGAGCTATGAGTGGGGAGATGTGAAATGAAGGAGATGCCGGTTTGGGAGGGCAGCGCTGGGCTCCCACACAAACCGGTTTAACACTGGGGCGGATTGCGTTCAGACAGATTTGACCAGTATGAATTTGGGACAGAACTGATATTTACAGAGGGTAAAGCTGTCACAGCTCTATATGATGGGGAAATGGTGGCGAATACTTGGCTGGGAAAAGTGATGTTGGGGTAACTGAGGCTGGAGGAGCCCCCTTGCAAGGGACTCCCTAAAACTGAGTGAACAGACAGAACAGCAGTAGCTGTGCTTAGCTAAGCATAGGTAATGTGTATTATAATGATCTGAACAACATAAGCATGTTGATGAGCTCTAATTTAACTCCAGATGGTCAAGAAAGAGATGTCAGGGACGGCTCACTTGCCCAACTGTTGACTGGGCTGTGGTGGTCAAAACAGTCAGTGCAATCTGCCGTACAAGAAAATAATGCAGTGGAGTGGCAGCTCTTTCAATACAAATTCAGTTGCATCTGCAGCAAGAAAAGTGTAATTTGTGCTGCTTATTTTGTCTCAAAAGCAGCAGAGAAGATGAAGGGAAATGAGAGCAGTAGCAGCAGCAGTAGGCTAAAAATTAGTTTTATTTTTGGAAGGAGAATTCAGCATTTGAGAGGAAACAGTTTTGCTTTTTAAATTTTTTTATTAGGAGGTTTAAAACAGCAGCTAGTAGAAATTTTCCTGCACTTTGGAATGCTAACTCACTTCCAGGGAAAATGGATTAAAGACTGAGGAGAGGCAAGCTGTGAAAGTTTGGTGATGCATCTACTTATTACAGGAATAATTCCCCCCAGAGCAGTGTTGATTTTTACACTTACATGACTGCAGACAAAGCTTACATATGTGTTTAACAGATTAGCCACAGATTGATCTTGCAGAGTTTTTAAGTGCACTGGGTCTGATCTTATAAGGCGTTTTAAGTAAATGCTTTAACCTCAAACTTCTGTGAAGCCTCAGTGGCATCGTGACAACTGTTCTTTTGTTTTTAGGATTAAGATCGGTGTTGGTAAAGCTGCATTCTCTTCCCATACAGTATTTTGCAATTAATCCCTAAATTGAAAACACACACAAAGTCTAACCACTTAATTGGAGATAGATTTTAAGTTGCTGATGAAAAAGAGCCATCATTACCTTGTTCTTTTCATGTGTTTAATCTCCTCTTTTCCTTCCTCATCTCTCTCGGAAGAAAATCATGCCAGGTATCAACTTTTTACCTTTGAAGACAGCGCAGAGGAGAGATGCGGGAAGGCGTTGTGTGGCCCTTGCCTGCAAGTCCCTGATCTCTGCGCCACTGTAGGAGGTGCTGGGGCTGCTGCTCTGTGAAATTGTGGCCTTTCTGTGTCGTCCTTTCTCCAAGTCTCATGTTTTTCCCCACTGAAACCAAAGCCTGTGGCTTTCTTGCCTTTTCATACCTAAAATGAAGAGTTAGTCCCAGGTATTATGCAGAAGTTAACATTTCAGGCAAAAAGGAAACTACTGTTGGGTTGTACACGACGTTTTCTGGTTTTGATGTACCACAGGAGGTCTGTTTTTTATGCAGATTTTACAAAATATTTCTGGTGACTGCCAGCACTGTCATCTTTGTATTTGGTTTTGTGGGAGAACAACCTTTACTCCAGTCCTGTCTGGGGTTCCCATCGCCTCCTCCTTCTTACTTATGGCAGTGTGCAGCTGCAGCCTGAACTCTCACTCTCTAAGTGCTCCTATTTTAAAACCAAGTACGACGTGCTGAGCAGAACAGGATATTTGTTTGAGGAATGAGAACAGAGTTTAACAACAAAGGTGTCTTGGCAAGATGCTATGCACAATGACTAACATTCTGCTTTAACACCTCATCAGTTTTCACAGCATCATAAAGATATTTTCATTGTAGTGTGAAACCAATACTTACCTGGACATATTTTCTTCACGCGGTCTTTGGTTTTAGTTGATTTGTGTTTGGTTACACTGACTAGAGGTATCAAGAGGTTCAGTGGTTAGGGCCCTGATGCGGTGGCTGGGAGGCAGGGAGTCGAGTCTGTGCTTTGACAAGGGCTTTCATGTTAGCCCTGGCAGGATGGAGGGGCATCTTTGCACCTCAGCTGCGTTCTTGTAATGAGGGATGAATATCACTTTCCTATATCAGATACGCACACTGGATTGATAAATGTGTTGTATATTACAAAATACGGATGCTGTTCTTACGGAGACTGAGTAAGTGCCTGAGATGTACTGGAAGATTTTAAATGAGAAGGGAGCTACAGAATAGCAAAAGTATGCAAAAACCTCAGGTTTGTATTTCACATACAGGTTAAATTACAAAATTTAAAGCATAATCTGCTAGTTGAGCAACTAACAAGTTTATTTTGGAAGCTCTTTGACTTCTTTCACCTAAATTAAAGTGTTACAAAACTGAAGATGTCACTGATCTTGAATGGAAATCCTAAAGTATGAGCTAAATTCTGGTAGAGGTCAGGGAAAAACAGGGCAAACTCAGAAGTTTAGAGTACTTCTGCCTTGGTGCTTAGTGTCTGGATGATCAGAAGGTCTAGTAATTTACTGCTAAATAATTCAGATACAGGGTATCCTTATGATATGAGGCATTAGTACAAATTACAGAAGAGCATCCTTTCTTAGTCTGCCGTAGCTCTAGTGATTTCAGGGGAGATAGTATGGTCACCTTGTAAAAGTCACGCATGTATGCTTGGGAGGCACCTTTGCTACTGCACACTGTTTTAAAAGCTGCCAGGACACAGCCTGATTTCTTGAGAGCGCTAAGGTGAGATCAAATACTTTGTACTCCCTCCCATTTGCTTCATGTCCAGTCTTTTAAGTGGTGCTGGTGGGAGTTTTATTCTTTCAGTTTCAAATGAGGCAGTTTCTCCCGCCACCCAAGGTAACTTAGAAAAAGAGTTTTAGCCAGCAGGTTTCCTGAGGCATCCTCTGCAATCAGGGCAGATGAGCTGCTTGAAAGGGAGATTCAAAGTAGGAGCCCGAGGCTTGCAGCTCCTCAGTGGTGGTGGCCTCTCAAGGCAAAGTTGTGCTGCAGACTCAGTGGGGCACGAGGATCAGTCACGTGGTTTCTTTTCATCGCATATTCAGAAGGAAATCAAGGCCCCTCAACGTTGGTGGGAGTCTCTGTTGAGCGCGCTGGATTTCAGAGCAGCTTCTCAGACTCCTCTAAGCAATTTATGCAACGATGGGAACGAGAATTTATTTTCTGAGCTGAGATCTGATTGTGGCGTCCATCACAAAGTGCTTTGAGACAGCTTTGAATATGAATAGAGTAAAATCCTTCTCGCTGCTCAAGAGCATTGAAGTTGTTATGAAGAAAGAAAGTTGCTGATTCCTCTGAACTCTCTGATAGCATTAACATGTATTCTTGTTTCTCTTTAGCCTCAGGCAGCTTTACAAAGAAATGTGTTTAGAGTGCAGACATTCACCCATACCCAGTAAAATGTGCCTGATGTAAAAGGATGTCTCATACTGTGTGTTTTAGAAAAAATGGTTTGACTTGCAAGAAGCGTAATGCACAATTTGTAGATTGTATGTTGATTTTTTCACTTCCCGAATGTCTTGAGGTATTTGTCTCTTTGCAAGTATGGCTTAGCATAGTACATCATTGAGTACAAATTTGGTTAACAAAATGCTGAATGCACAGTAAGTGAATTTTGCAGAATTGGGTCACCAAAAGGTTCTTCCTTTCTCATCTTTAAGCCTCTGAACAATTTGTGTCCTGAATGGTGGTCTTGTATCCTTTGTTGACAGTTTATTTGATTTGTAACCCTTTGCAGGCTGGAGAATACTTTAAATCTGTTCTTGAACTGTGCAGACTAAAAATACTTAAGTGCGTTGATAACATTGAATGATGCTTATGGTATGATAGCTGACAACACAATATTTGCTGTCTTTTTCAGACTAACGGACACATATCTGGAAGTGGAGATGTATATCAAGAAAGGCTGGCTCGTCTGGAAAATGATAAGGAATCTCTTGTTCTGCAAGTGAGTAGTCACCTAAATTCTTTTTTTCTGCTCTTGCATGTATGTGACAAAACCTCTGAGGATCTATTTGCAGTTGTGTCATCTTAGACAGTGTTGAGAAGGCTTGCTGATACTGGAGAGTTAACCCAGATTAAGGATAGTTGTGAACTTAGATTGCAGGAAAAATCTAAAGGCCTACCTTTCTCTGTATCTGATCTCCTGTTGAGCCTTGGTAGGCGAGCACGTCTGCAGAGCAACCACCTTCTTACATGCACATATATCGTTCAGATCACCTTTTTCCATGACCATTCATGTACTGTCCACATCTGTGCCAGATGTCCTGTCCTTGTGCAAGGTGGCAAAAGCTGCAGGACTGGCTGACAGGCGGGAGGAGATGAGCAGCTCCTTGGAGGTCCTGCCTACCTGGTGCTGAGCTGGACTGGACCAGCCCTGGGCACCCTTGCCAACTGGCTTACTCCTGCCATCAGGGTTAGGACTACCTGGCATCCCCTGCCCAGCACAGACATGCTGCAGTTCCCTGACATGGACCTGGCCTAAAGGCTGTGAAAATGCCGAGCTCTGTTCCAGGCAGCTTGCCCTTGTTCCCAGCGGTACTGCAGATTTCCTCAAAAGAGCCTGTTTAAACAAAGAATTCATTCAGAAAAGCCAAAAAGGGAATTGGTGTGGAGCCTCAGAGGTGTTGTCTTGGTCTTTCTTCTCTCAGTCTGTGTGTTTTAACCTCTTTTGCTTTTATTTTTCTGAAAAGGAGAAGGTGTATGCAGTGACACACTGCGTGCAATCACTTGGAAAGCAGAATAAGTTGCATGCAGTGAGATTTAGCTGCTATTTGATTGTTAAGGCAGGAGCCAGTGGGCTTTAGTCAATGCATTGTCACAGCGAAGGCATAGTTGTTGGCTGTAGAATGCAGCAGCCACCCCTTGTGAAAACTCCCAGGACAAGTCAGGAAGGGAGATGTAGAATTGCAGCGCATCTGCCAGAACTTTGGCTGAAATTCCAGTAAGCATGAGGGGAGAGCTTTCCCTCCTCTTCCATCACCTTTGCCACACGTCATGTCCTCCGCAGAGCTTTGCTGCTGTTTCTCCTCCCGTGGTCCCGTTTCATCAGTGTCCCAGCCAGTGCTGTTACTGACGTATAGTTCTTCAGGTGACGCGAGTGTTATGGGAATGAGGTACTTACATGAATCCCTTTTTCTCCGCTGTGCAGGTAAGCGTGCTTACGGACCAGGTGGAGGCCCAGGGAGAAAAGATTCGGGATCTGGAGTTCTGTCTAGAGGAGCACAGGGAGAAACTGAATGCCACAGAAGAGATGCTGCAGCAGGTATTTCACAGGCGCATGTCTGCCTCGCTGTCTTCGTTCTGTCTTAACAAACTGGGTTTTGCTTCAGTGAGAGCAGTGCTCTTCAGTTCAAGGTGTTGCACCCCTTGATGTCTCTTATCTAAGTGATAATTTTCTACCATATTTGCTTTAAAGTCTTTGTACTTAGTAATGTCAGTGTGGCTTTACACTATAGGAATCCAGTCCCACTCTTCTTTGAGCCTTTCCCCACTGAATTTCAAAGACACTTGGATTAAAGCCTCTGGCGGGATGGGTGGATTCCCCTCAAAGCTCCTTGCTGCCCAGAGCAACTGTGATGACAGACAAGCTTTTTTCTCATACTGGCAGCCAACCTGTGATAGTGCCCCTGTGATCTCAGATGCATCCTAGTGCCTGGAGTCTGGCAGATGGGTAATAGCTGTGTCCCAAGGCTTCAGAAAGTGCAAGGAAGAGTGTGATGCTTTTCCCTAGGAAAGAGGCCTTTAGTTGTAGAAATAAATAACTGATTTCTTCCCCTTGGATGAATAATTCTGTTCTCTTCCTCTTTAAATTGAATCAGGAGCTTCTGAGCAGAACATCCCTTGAAACTCAGAAGCTGGATCTTATGGCAGAGATTTCTACTCTGAAGTTAAAGCTTACATCTGTAGAAAAGGATAGATTGGACTATGAAGACAGATTCAGAGACACAGAGGTGAGTAGAACCCAGCTGAAGAAATTGTGAAAGCTGAGCGTGGCTTCACATTACCTGAACCTTTCCTGGGAATTTTTTTTTTTCCCCAGGCAAGAAGGGAACTCATCTTTAAGGTTAAAACATGTGTCTCTTAAAATAAAAAATGTCCTCTTTGGTAAACTTTGGTTTTACAAAGAAGGATTTCCAAAACCAGTTTTTGATTCTTGCCATCAGATCTCAGGAGTGATGGCATTTAGGATGGATTTAAATAAAATCATGAATATACTGCACTCTCCTGTGCCAACTTCAAACCGTTGTCTTGGTAAGCCATGTCTGAGGCAAATGCTTAAGCCCATTGCAAGTGCAAAAAGCATGCATGTGCAAAGACACAGCACAGTACAAGACACTGGTTTCAGTAACAGAGATAGCGAGGTGACTCAGTGTGAGGGCATTTTGAAGCCTCACTTCAAACCCTAGCCCCACAGAAGCCCAGGACTGAGAGGCCAGCGGTTACTCATCTCAGCCTGGCTTCAGCCCAGCAGTGTACAACACCCAGCAGAGCTGCAGCCTGGAGCTTCCATCCCTGGCGGTGCTCTCCTGGGGGATTTGCCCTCTGTGCACTGCAGATCTGTGTAGCTGATCCTTGCTCGTGTTTGAAGCCAGAAAGCCTCGTAAAAGTGTAGGTAGGCATTAGTTGTAAGGGTCTCAGCCATGCAAAATCTCTAACAGGTATCTTGGAGTATTCAGAAGTACACAATATTTTATTCAGTGTTAATCTAATTATATTCCTGTTTAAAGTAATAGATGATCAATTATTTCAGCAGAGCTGAGTATTTAAATGACTATTTAAAATATGCTACTGTAAAATATTATGGCATTTACATGCAGTGTTCAAAATGGAAAAAAAAATCACAATCAAGCTGAGAAAGAAAAACTATGAATATTGCTTCTGTTTTTATTTAGGGAAAAGAAAGTGAAAAGAAGAAAACCACAACATTGACATCTTAAAACAACTTTTGTGGAGCTACTGTCTCCTACAGAATTACCATTAAGATTAAATCCTTCATATTTACCTAGTTTTTACTTATGTCTCTCATTGCAACTTCCCATTCCAGCTTGGTAGGTTTCTCATATTCACCATTCTTTCTCTGAACAAGATGCTTCACTAGATCTGTAAGCGTTTTTTCCTTTGTGCTCTGGAACTTTCCTGTCTAGATGGTCACAAATACATAGCTTTTTCAAAGCTAATTGTATGCTTAATAGAGATTTATAGTTGATCTGTTCTTTAAATCATTCCAGTCTTTCCACTTTCTTAGCAGACACCAATGTTATTTTCCTTAAGGAGCACGGGTGGTCTGAGTTGGGCTGAGTTTATGTAAGAAAATATCATACGAGGGAGTTTATTTAGGGAGGAGTCCATAAACAGGCACGGTGTTTGAAGCAGCAGCCAGAGGTTAAACTGGCTCACTCATGGGAAATTCTTCATAATTTAAACACCACCAGTCTCCTTTTGTGCAGATGAATTTCTGAGCAGAGCAAACTGACGAATGGAGTTTGTGTTTCCAGTGCCAGTAAGGAAGCCTCTGACCTCTGAAACATAAAGTTATCATTGCTTTTTTTGTGCTTCCCTGGCCCTGCCGTGGAGAGCGCGAGTAACATGAGCAGGGAAGGGAAAAGCTTTGGGAAACAGGAGTCTGTATGTCCCACCCCATCAGCTCCATTCGTGGATTCGTGCAAGGAACAGTTGTTGGGTGTTTGCATGGAGGGACCTGACCCTGGATCAGTAGAGGACCATTTAATGGCTCTTGCCTGTTTTGCAGGTTTTTAAGACAGGAACATGCATTATGCCCAGGGCAGGTATTTTAACCCATTTATGGGTGCCCGAAGGGGAGATATTAAATGCAAGCAGAGCAGGTGCTGTACACTGGCCACCATGTGGGTGACTGTTTTACTGCTGGTTCATCCAAGTCAGCCAGGGAACTCGGTGGGTTTTGGCTCAGTTCTCAGATCCTGATGAACCTCTACTGCACCCTGAGTGCCATGGGGACACGCACGCCTCAAGCATGACACAAAGCTCTTCGGGTCATAAGCTGTTACAATGGTTGGCACCTTCGGGTTTCAGACAACGCTGCGATCTCCTTGCTGGGGCTGCTGCAGGAGGGGGCAAGGCACAGTCCTTGCTGTGAAAGGTTTGTAGTCAAAATCAGTGGAACAGAGAATAGTAGAAGAAAAGGGTAAATGTTTCTGGGCAGCAAGCAGGAAAGTGAAATACACTGGCAGGATTAGGATTTCTTAGGGAACCTCAGTGCCTTTGCCAGTCTTTACCTCTGGTAGCTTGCCCAAAGTTAAATAATAATTCAGTAGCAGGGGAGACAGCCCTGTTTGGGCCTTTTCTGTTTGCTCGGCTCATTTATGCAAGGCTTGACCATCTCTTTTGTACTAATGAGGATCTGTATGTAGAACCTGGTGAATCTTTAATGTACTCCTCTGCCTTAAAAAGATGAGAATGAATGTCATTTACAGTTACTGTGTTGCAGATAACTTAAGACATGAATTAATGTTGCACTTGCAAGAGAGTAATTGAAAATATTTTTAGGGCAAAGCATGCTGTTAGGACTTGTATTTAGTTCTATTTAACCTTGAGCAAATTGTACAGTATTTTTGGTGACCAGTTATCAGTGGTGAAGGATCCAATTACCCATGAGGTCCACAACAGATTGAGCAGAAGAGCTTAGTTTCTGCTCCAAGATCTTACATTCTTGGATTCTGGTTGCAAGATTGCTCTGTTTTCCATGACATTGTGAGTACATCTTGACATTTCTGTTAATCAGTATGGGTTGTGCTAACTTTTTTCATAAAAGTAGCAGAGTTTTGGGTTATTCCTTTTGCTCAGAGGGGCCCTTGAATAGAGATAACTGGTTTCCCTCTCCTCCTGCAGTATTTTAAAAGTCACATAATTCAAGTGATAAATCTGTAGGCAGCAACCTCAGCAGTTATTGCTACACAGCATATTTTGACATCGGATCATGCCAAAGCAAAAATGATGGCTGCAGGAGAGAAAAGCTCCAAACAAATCAATTGTCATAGTCTCAAAGCAATTGTCATAGTCTCAAAGCTGACCATCAGACCTGGGACCATAGATTTGTTAGACATCTCAAACACTTGGTGTTGATAAGAAATAGCTCGATTAATGTAGTCAGCAGACTGACATCCATGTATATTTATGCTTAGAAGAGTAATGTGCTTTGTAAAGGTCACACGTTGAAGAATCAGTGAAGAACTGCATGTGTGTCGAAATCAGAAAGTCATACATTAGCAGTAGTAATTACTAATAGCATCAAAATGTTCTGTATTTTTATTTTTCTTGTAGTTCTGGTAATTGAGCTGGGATCTTGCTAAAGAAATACTGTTGCCATCAGATCCATTAAGTACAGAATAATAACCAGAGGCTTGTAAGCTCAGAAAATGTGGTGTGGAGCTGGAAGGCAAGTGTTACCCGGGACCCATGAATACCCTTTAAATGTCAGCTGCTGGCTTGTTAATTTATAAATTGTAAATCTCTGCTAATTACACACTTAGGTCTGAAAAATTCTTCTTACAGTTGTGAGCTCGATGTACAGCATTGCTTGACATGGATAGGATTTCCCTTACCAAGTAGGAAGACAAGCCAACCAAAGTACCATGCTATCTTGGTAGCTTAAAAGCTGTTATACTGCAGTTCAAGTTCTTTTATGTTTTCTAGGGTGCACAAAGAGCTTATTTCCTCTTTTGAAGAGTTTCCTGGTGATAGAGCATTACAGTAGCTGCTGAGAAACTGCTTTTTTTTTCTTTCTTTTTTTCTTTTCCCTTTTTTCCCCTTTTTCTTCTTTCTTTTTTTTTCTTTCCTTTTTTCACACAAATGTAACATTGATCTGGTGTCCTTATATAAATTAAAGGTCAGTGAGATATACATCAGGCAGAAGATTGCTGGATATCTTTGAGTTGTGTGAAAGCCATAGCTTTCTGGTAATGTGTTCCCCTGCTGAGCAGGAAGATTGTTTTCCCAATAAGCTGTGGTTCGTTATCTCTCATATGGAGGGACACTCTGTCCGGGCTGTTCCCCAGGCTTCGTGCAGGTCTGCAAGTGGCCACTTAAGATCCTATTTCCCCATGGAAACGAGGATTAGGAGGTTTGGAGAAAAAGTGCCTTGCACCTTGGTGGCACAAGCTCAGGGTTTGTTTGACCACTGCAGGAAAGGAGCTGTAGAGCTGTTGGCACTCAGGACTGACCTCCAAACCTGGTAGGTCTCTCCAGAAGGATGGCCAGGAGGTCAAGCCGTTCCCCTGAAGAGCTCAGATGTGAGTTGGTGGTGGCTCCAAGTTTCTTCCAAACCAGGCTGAAGTTGCAAAGCTCGGATGTAGTGGTGCCATTGGTGCTTAAACACATACGCCTTTGTGCTTGTAGAAACCAGTGTTGGCTCTTCCATTCAGCCCTCAGTAAGAGGGGCTCATTTACGTTTCAGAAATGTGGATTTACACTGTAATCATTTCATATTTTGAAAAGGTAGGTGACAGCTGGCGAGCCTGGGATGGGAGGGACTGGGAAGGGGAGGATGTGGCTGCTGCCTGTTGACGGACAGCTGCCACGGTTTTCAGTTACCCACTTGTAGTGGTGGACATCCAAGCAGTTGAGAAGTCGGAGGGGCAGGAGGCCTTTCTTGGCCCTCAGCACAGAGAACACAACTTCAATTTATGTCTCCATTTGTCCTCTGCCCTCTTGTATTCAGTGCAGTAATGCAGAAACTAAGAAATACAGTCCCGGGATATCTAGGAAGCTCTGAATTGTGTGACTTAGCTATGGGTGGTGTGTTTTTCTGTACAGAGTGCCTTTTATTGCCGCTCGGTTTTTATGGTCCGACCAATGTAGCTATTGTTCTGTTTCGTTAACTGAATTTCTTTGTTGCTTCTGATCTTGTTTTTCCCCTCACTCAGGATTTGATCCAGGAAATAAATGAATTGCGGTTGAGAGTGGGAGAAATGGACAATGAAAGACTCCAGTATGAGAAAAAACTGAAAACAACCAAAGTAAGTGAGGCTGAAGGGAAGAAGCAGAGATGGGTGTAAGTCAGGCTTTAGAAGTTTCACTCTCTTTTCCCCCTCTTGCCTGCACCCTGCAAAGTCCTGAGCACACTCAGGCCCAGGGGTTTTATGGTACTCAGCAACAGGGGTTATTTCCAAATTTCACGCTATGGTTTTCAGATCTGGGCATTGTTTTTTATGAAGGATAATTTACCATGCAGCTGGCTGTTAACAGTAAATTTATTACCTGTTTAGACCCTTGTTTCATGTATGTGTCAAGGAACACCAGTTGCAGTACTTAAAGGCGTGCGCCATAGGTGAGACCAAAGCTGAGCATTTATTTTCTCCTAAATGTGCTAAAAATCAGCCACTTCTGAAGAGAAAGCATTCACCTAAGTAATTCTAGCAGCCTGTTTCTGTAAGTGTCTAACTTCTCTTTGCCATTTAGCCTTGTCTCTTTTCTATCTATAGTTTTCTCTCACTGCTCTGTCTCTGTTACCAGTCTTTAATGGCCAAACTTTCTAGTATGAAAATCAAAGTGGGTCAGATGCAGTATGAAAAGCAGCGGATGGAGCAAAAAAGCCAGATGCTAAAGGTGTAGTAGTTTCTGGGTAACATTGGGCCTGTTTTGAATCCTTCATGTTCCACTGTTTTACAGTCTGTCTTGCATCGTGCTGTCGTGCTCTGTTCTTCATTAATTGCCATGTGTTGGTTTGCAGTGCAATAAACCCATTAGATGCGGAAAGCTCTTTATGTTGATATTCCTTGTAAACAGCTTTAATATTGGATGGGAGAGGATTTTGGTGTTGTGAACTTTGCATAGGTTACGCATAATGGAATTGGACTTGGGTTAAAATCATTCCTCTTCCAAGAGAAGATTGCCTCTTCTGTAGCTTATGTCCATTATTCAAATGGAACTTTTTCTCATCTTTTTAGAGAAAATTTATTCATGAAAACTAGCTAGAAAATAGTGATTCTTTTATACTGTTCCCTCCCCACGTGTAAATTTACATATCAGGTTTCTAATTGAGGGGAAGAAATACACATCAGCAACCACATGGAGCTCTATTTGCCCATGGGTATAACAGCAGCTTCTCAAGTGACCAAGAGATGGTCTTGTTTTGGAGAAGCATGGGTCCTACACTGGCAGAAATCCCATCAAAATCAGTACCAAGTTAGAGCACTGGAGGATTGTATTACCCAGCCACTGTTCTGGAAGAATCTTTGATTTCTTGGCAATTTTAAGATTGATCTATTTTTTGATGATGCTTTAGAGCAAACAGGAACCAATTTCAGGAAATTCTGTAGTCTGGGCCGTAGTTTGGGTCGTGGATATTGCTATATATTTGCAATAGATCTTTTGAGGGAAACTCAGGAATATACCTAAGCCATAGTATTCTAGTTTGGCTTATTCCTTTAAGGATTTAAAAATTCAGTTAGAAGCTGTAAATGCCAAAATCATGAGTCTTGCCTTGTTTTGTTTACAAACTGAACAAATTAAATTTTCAGTGTTGGGTACATTTGCAGTGAGGGTCCTGTCTTGATGATGCTGTAGCACAAGATATCCTCGGACATCAAAGAAACATGTTACTGAACTGGGTAGGATCAGACTCAAATTTTAAAAAGTTAAATGCATGGATCTGTGCCAGTCACTCGCTAGTGCAGATGGTTAGATCTAAGTTAAAATTTGACAGCATTTATCTAATACACCCCAACTCCCCCAAACACCATCTGTCTTATTCCCATGAATCTCTAAGCTTCCTTTTCTAATGCTTGATCAGCAAACCCGAACTGTGGCAGAGGTACCACATTTTCATCTGAACCACTTTCCAATATGTGTTTATGTGCTTGATGGTGTCGTGATTGATTTTTCTTTCATAGAAGCAGTGGTTATTTCTGAAACTGTCCTCAGCCTGGTGTAAGCACAGCTCCATAATTGTCCAGCTTTGAACATGCAGAATGCCCTATAAATACCAAAATAAGTGTTCATAGATTTTAGCATTCAGCGTCATCACCTGCACTTTTTCTGTCTCTGCAAGGTTAAATAAATAAGAAAACTGCTTTTTTTTTTTTTTTTTTTTTTTTGCTTTACTCTTTCTTTTTTAAAGTTAGATGTAAAATCTCTTTTTAATTATCAGCAAGAGCAACACTTTCAGACCGTAGTTTGCCCTTATGGACTCAGCGGTCTGTTGTGATGTTCAGAGGCAGTTTGGTGGGCGTACCCTCAGCCAGTGTAAATGTCAGGGGGCCCTTGGTCATTTCTACTGGCTGAGGACTTGTCCACTGTGCTTCATAGGAGGGAATTTTGGAAACATCTCAGATGCGTGTGGGAGCTGTCACCGAGTGGTTCTGTGTCTGTTACAGGATGAGCTAGGAGCTTTGAAAGACAAACTAGAGCAGAAGGAAGCTGAGGTAAAAAGGTTGCAAGAAAAACTGGTTTCCAAGCTGAAAGGAGAAGGAATTGAAATATTGGACAGAGGTAAGAAGGGAGGCTCTCTCACTGTGTCCTCCTCAGTCACCTCACCTGAGGTCATGTTTCCATGAATGGTTGTACAGGAGATAACAGATAAAAGCCTCAATTTTCATATACTTTCTGTCTTCGTGTTTACTTTTAATATATTTAGGGAGTGTTCATGATTTTTCTACTGTCATAGCAAGTTCTTGATCAACTTTAAACTAGCCTAAGTAATCACTAGTTAGCTCTTTATGTGGATTGCATGGTGCCTCAAAAGATGCAGTTTATATTGGCAAAGAAATCCTTAAACTAATTTTAACAAGTTCCCCAAAAAGATGATAATGAGAAGGAAACTTTCTGTGTGGGTATCTATGCTGGGCTTTGCTTGTACACCCCTTACTGGTAAGGAAGGGGAAAAGCTGTACTGCAAACCAAAGTTTGATGTGTACCAGCAAATCTTCAGTGTGGACCCAGCCATAAGTAGGTGAAATTGAGGATTGATTCTGGATTTGTGTACTGGTTAGGTCTAAATCCTAATTAAGCTTGAATTAGCACAGAAATTTTATGTGTCAGATAATTCTTTTATTTGCTTGCAAAGAAGAAACAGTATTTATTTTGGGGAAACTTAGATTAGGGAACATACTTAAAAATAGAAATTTTTCTTTAGAGCCTCACAAAAATTTTCCACAGACTTTTTTCACCTGCTGCAATTTTCTTTCTGAATATATTTCACTGATAGTTATTGCTGATTTTAAGATTGTGCTTTTAAAGTATGTTTTTTAGAAAAATAAAGCCACAAGAGATTAATTAGTCTCCTCCCCTGACCTGAGGAGGAAAATGCTGTGTGTAGGTTGTCACATTTTATTTAATAAAATGATCTGTTTTCAAAAACACTGCAAAAGATCACTAAAGATTGAACCATGACTCCTTTTTTTTTTTTTTTTTAAGAACATTTAAATGTGAACAAGGTCTGACTTCATTGCATTTATGACTACTTACATGGGGCTTTTCTTCCTGGGAGCTGCTGTATGCGTTGAACTCCCGTTACCCTCTGGTTCTCAGCTTTAGTTTAGTATTCGTTATAACTCAGCAAGGAGATCTTCTGCCATGATGAACCTGGTTTTTTTCTGCTTTGGACCAATATTAAGTAACGTTGTTTGCAGATAACACTGGTTATCCGGCACATTAGCTGAACTGTGCTTTCTGAACAAATATGTTTACATTATCACTTAGTTGGCTTTTGCCAGTAAAGTGTTAGCTTAAGAGTAATCTATTGGCATAAGCCTTTTCTGAGGCCTTACGAGTGAAAACGTACAGTTGAAAAATACATCCTTGAGACAGGTAGTTGCGTAGGAGAGCAGTAAGACTATTTTGTGTCATCAGGAACATTAGCACCGGGGGAGTGCAGGTTGAAACCGTGAACTGCTTGCTTCTGCGCTAATACATGAGGAATAGTTGACTCCTTAAGTATCAATATTGTCTTAAAAGTTATTTGATGTCATAACCTTCATGCTAATTTCAAATCCAATGGATTTTCCTGCACAGATGAAAATTGTAAAAAGAAGCTCAAAGATAAAAGTAAGGTTTCTGGTGTCTTTCCACAAGCATTTGCATTTCAGAAGTGCTTTTCAGAATATCTTTCTGCATGTGTTCGCAAAACTGCTTTAACAAACATTGTTAGGTTGCATCATCTATAACCCTTAGTTACACTTACAGTAACATTTGAGAATAAGGGTGGATATATCACACTTGAAATACAAAGTTTTCTGAAGAAAAGCTGATAGTCAAAGAAAGATTTGGTCTCATGGAGACTCACGAAACAGTTGCCTCTCAATGAAATGCAGTTGCAAGCCAGTAAACCAGATTTTCAGCTAGCATAACTGAGGGAAAATCATTGGAACTGGATCAGTAGCTGTTTTAGTCCAATGTGTCTAAATGTCTTTCATCTAGAAAGCCAGCCAGGCAGCTTGTTTTCTTCTTGCATTTCATTAAGGAGGAAAACGTTCTTCCCGCTCTGTTTGTTTTCTGAGAAATTTTAGGAAGTTAAAACAAGGTAAAATGCTTTCTTGCCTGTGAATTTGGCCACCTGCTTATGTTTGTAACAAAATTTTAAGTTTACCTCATTTATGCAAGGCAGAATCTTAGCAAAAATGGAGATTTTTTCCATTTTTGAATTTCTAGTCCAGAATACCTCCAAAATCTAACCTTGTTAGAACATACGTTTCTGTGTATTTACACTTCTTTGTAAATAAGGATTATAGATGAAGCGCAGAACAGTGTCATCTGTATTAGGAACCTTTTCCAAGTCTGAACTACAATATGTGTTCTAGCATGGCTGCTCATCACAGCAAATGCTTGTATCATTCCATTGTGCTGTCCTCATTTCTACATCCATACTGAATTAAGACTAAGCATCACTGCACAATGCTTTCTTCATCATATCCATTAATCCTATTGCTTTGTATAGTGGGTTTTTGAGATGCCATGTGTGATGTTTGTTGACTGTTGTAAGGAGGACGTGTTCTATTGCACTCCAAATGTAGTATTCTATATTTTGGACTTTTTTGTTTTGCAATTATTTGATGATTTGAAAGATGGAGATAGCAAAAGTCAAGAAGTCAAGTAGTAGTTTTATTCTTGACTTTTCCATTTTCCTAAGGCTGGGGAGGGGGTAAGGAAATTTCCTGAATTTCATCATTTCCTTGATAAAAAGGTCAGGAAAAAAAAGATTTTGAAGAAAAAGGGGTTTTTTCTATGTATTTCCATCTAAAATAGAATTTAAGTGGCTTATGTTTTGTCTTTTAATTTGTAAGTTTACTTTCAGATATTACCGAGTTGCTTCTACCTTTTTTTGTTTTTCTTATTTCCTTAGACTGTCTTATTTAAATTGACTTAGAGAACTGTATTGTGTTTTTAGATATAGAGGTACAGAAAATGAAGAAGGCGGTAGAATCTCTAATGGCAGCAAATGAAGAGAAGGTAGCAAAGTCATTATTTTTTCAGTAATCATTCATCAGCTTGAGTTAAATATCTAAGAAAATCTTCACATATGAACTTGTCACAATTCAATTAAAAAATCAAATTTGTAAGAATCAATCTTTTGTTTCAAAAAATCAGTTGTAAGAATCACTGTAGTCAGAAGCACTGCAGTGCCTTTAAGGGACTATAACCGAGCATTTATGAGCAGTCGCATGTACAGAGTCCTTGCGCTGTTGTGTCATTCAGTTTGGTGCAACTGCAATTTACACTGTGTTCTGAAAATGCAAAGAGTTCCATACAAGTCCCATGAGATATCACAAGCTGCGTTTCCAAAAGGGCTTTCTGTAAAGTATGAATTGTTTTCATGTATGATTTTGCGCATTCATATGCATGTGCATTTTGTAGGATGTTTTCTTTTGATCACCAAAGCGCTAAATCCTTTGATTACTGCTTTCTTTGTACATGGCAAATGTATTATACTCTACCTTTGACTTAAGGAAGGAGCTGAAATCCACTTTCAAGGCTGGGACAATTCTTCTGGTGATTAACCAGATGATAGTTTTTGCTAAATACCAGTTTTGATATTTCAAAGTCTCTCCAGAGTTCTGGGTCCTGTCTCATGCACACTTCACATTCCTTTTAGTCTCACAAGCAATTAAATCGAAGAGTATCTTAGTATTTGTATTGCTTATTTTTGATTTACTGAAGGAGGAAGTATGGTCCCAAC